CCATCAATGCCCTCCTCGGAGCAAAGAAGGTATCTGTCTCCGCTACACCCGGAAAGACAAAACACTTCCAGACACTCTACCTGTCGCCGGAGATCATGCTCTGCGACTGCCCTGGCTTGGTCTTCCCCAACTTCGCAACAACCAAGGCCGAACTGGTAGTAAATGGTGTCCTCCCCATCGACCAGCAGCGCGAATTCACTGGTCCAGCTGGTCTAGTCGCGCAGCGTATCCCCAAGCACTTCCTGGAGGATGTTTACGGCGTGAAAATCCAGACTCGACCGCTGGAAGAAGGCGGCACGGGCATCCCCAACGCCCACGATCTCCTACGAGCCTACGCCAGAGCTCGTGGTTTCGCTACCACCGGTCAAGGTCAGCCCGACGAGTCGCGCGCGGCCCGCTACGTACTGAAGGACTACGTCAACGGTAAACTTCTCTTCTGCCACCCGCCCCCGGTACCAGAGGGTGAAGAGCCCATCGACCCACTCGAGTACAACCGCGAGCTGTACGACATCGCTCATCTCCCGGCCCGCCGACAGGCCATGCTCGCAAGAACCGCCCAGGCCAACGCAGGCGGCGAGGAGTTCGACGACGACGCAGAACTTCTGTCCCTGGGTTCATCCTCCAAGCAAGGCCAGGCCGTCGAGGGGTCGCGGTCACGGAATCTAGACACGGGTTTCTTCGGGCCCGGCGCGAAGGGCTCCGCCGGACGTCTCACCCTGCCGTTTAACGCGCAGTACACCGAACAAGGCCAGCAGATGCGACAGCACCTGACCGGCCGCAAGGAGAGACTGATGATTGCGCTGGAACGAGGGGTAGACGTGTCGGAGGTGCGCGGCAGCTCGAAGAAGCACTTCAAGGGCAACAAGAAGAGGGCCAAGGCTAAGCGCACGAAAGCGGAAGATGACGACTACTGAAAGGTTATGACAACTCGCTGGCGAGTGCTGCATTTGCTGTGATTGTTCGGTTTCTTGTCTCTGGTGGGTAGAGCGGAGGATACCATGGGATGGGATGGGTTTCAGGGGTTTTATGCCTTAGATGAATTGCATCATCTAGCGAAAAGTAGTAACATGATTTGATTTTAGATACCGGAGTTAAATGCTCTATTCACTTGGTCACGACGATGGTGCGCTCTTGTAGTACAATAAAAAAAAAAAAAAGAAATCTTCTGGTATTCGAGGTATAGAAAGGCGACATTCTTATTGTCCTGCACACTATCTTGTTCATTTTATATCCAAGCCCGCCAGATCATCACAGATGACTCTTGGGCTTCTGAAATCCACTGGCCAACAGCAGCCGCTCCGCCTCCTCCTTCTGGTACTTCAGCTTGGCGACAATGGCGTCCTGGCGCGACTTGTTCTCGCGTCTTCCAAGCTGCTGCAGGTGGACCTCATCGGGTCCGTCGGCGATACGCAGCGTCCGGATCATGGCCCATAGGTTGGCCAGGGGCGTATCCTGGCAGACACCGGCGGCGCCGTAGGCCTGCACGGCGCGGTCGATGACGGTCAGGGCGGTCTGGGGGACGAGGACCTTGGCCTGGGCGATCTCCTTGAGGGCGGACTTGGCGTCGCCCTGGTCAATCTTGATGGCGGCGTTGAGGACGATGAGGCGGGCGGCGTCGATCTCAATGCGGGACTTGGCGATCCACTCGAGGATGACGCCGTGGGCGGACAGGGGCTTGCCGAAGGTCTTCTTGCGGTCGTCGTTGACGCGGGCGATGAGCCACTCGAGGGCCTTCTCGGCGGCGCCGATGGTGCGCATCGCGTGGTGGATGCGGCCGGGGCCCAGGCGGCCCTGGATGATCTCGAAGCCGCGGCCCTCGCCCAGGACCATGTTCGAGACGGGCACGCGCACGTTGGTGAAGGTGATATGGCCGTGGCCGTGCGGGGCGTCGTCGTAGCCGTATACGGTCAGCATCCGGTGCACGGTGATGCCGGGAAGGCCGGCGGGCACGAGGATGACGGACTGCTGGCGGTAGGGGTCAGGGTTGGTCGGGTTGGACTTGCCCATGACCAGGTAGATCGCGCAACGGGGGTCACCAGCGCCGGATGACCACCATTTCTACCGGGGATCGGTCAGCATGCAATCGCTTTACTGAGAGGCGGGTGGGACGTCTACATACCGAACCGTTGAGAACGTATTCATTGCCTTCACGGCGGATGTTCAGCTCAATGTTTGTGGCATCACTCGACGCAACATCAGGCTCGGTCATGAGGAAAGCAGAGCGGATCTTGCCCTCGAGCAGAGGAGCAAGCCACTGCCTCTTCTGCGCCTCATTGCCATACTTGGCCAGCACCTCCATGTTACCGGTATCAGGGGCGGAGTTATTCGTCGCCTGGAAAACCACCCGTCAGCACCGCAATCGCTACTCATTGCAAGTATCTGAATCGAGTCACCCACCTCAGAAGCAAGCTTGCTCTTGCCGAGGTACTCAGCCATCAGACCGTACTCCAGGTTACTGAACCCAGCGCCCTGGGAGAAGTGGTTCTTGGGCAGGAACATGTTCCACAGGCCCAGTTTCCGGGCCTTGGCCTTGAGCTCCTCGAGCACAGCTGGGGTTGTCTGCCATCTCTTCTCGCCTTCGCCGAGCTGGGCCTGGAATAGAGCGTCGGCGGGGATGCAGTCTTTCTCGACGAATTCTTCGACCTGAATATCGCGGGAAGAGATTAGCATAGCTGTATCTGAGGGTAAATTGTAGGTAGACAACGTACCAGATCAAGGACCTTCTTTGCCCGATCGCTCACAAAGGGCTGGGCGATGGAGGGGATTCTTGTGGAGGCGGACATCTTGTGTATGTGAGGGATCAACGAAAAGGAAGGGATCCTAGCAAGGTATTGTGGTCAAGAAAATCGAAATTAGGACGGATTAAGCAGGACAAAGAGACGATTATAAAGCTGAGCAAGACAGTGAAGCAGAGAGGATCATACGAGGGTCGAGATGGAGCTGATTGCGGAGTACTCGCAGTTTGCGGAGAAGCAGCCGAGCGCTGGTTTTTGAACCTCGGCTGACCCAGGGTTCTGACCGTCTGGATGCTGCAGACAGGGACAGCGATGTTGCTACGAGGTAGATGGAATTCAAATATAATAACGAATCGAAAGACTATTCGATTATCGATATTTGTTTGATATCATGAAATCAAGGGGATGCAGGATGGATGGTTGATCCGAGGCTCTATCGGTTTACCGAACATTCCCAGAGCCATAGAGATACTGAATCCCTAGACCGACACCAACCATCAATATCAAAGACGAGCGACATGATTTCATTATTTTCCCAAGCAACCGTTATGGATCATCGATACAGAGACAAAAGACCAAAAAAGTCACACAAGTCCATTCCCAATTCCTCATTATCCCACATAATCTCCGTATGAACCCCGGACCAGAAAAACCAAGCAAACCAGAAACCCAAAGACAACAGTGTCAGCCTTACCATGTCAACCAATCGTAATCACACAGGCACAGCCCATGGTTATCGAAAGATGGTAGACGCAGGAAGCAGAGGACTCGAGGCCGAGGCGATCATGCTCTGTATGCTCCTTTTTCTCCCTCCAACGATGCGGCCAGCGCACGAACATGAGACAAGGGCAAAGTGTGCAACATCATGCCCTCTGCTCCACATACTACCGAGCGATTGACCATTTCTAGGCCGTAGTGTTATCTCCGAGGTTCTTGTTGTTATGTTCCGCCGTGTTCTGCTCAAAATTCTTCTTGCCCAGCTTGGCGAAGAGCGATTGAGGCTTTCCAGCACTGTACGAAAGTCTCTTAGCATCTTCTTCAAAGGAGAATTGATAATCTTCAGACTCATGGGGGTGACATACTTCTTGAACCGCTTCCCCTTGAGATCACTCAGCTTCTTCGAACAAGGACTCATGATATCATCCGATGGAGAAACATAGCTCGCTTGGTTCCTGTTCGCACAATACAATCAGCCATGTTCTTCTAATTTCACTTTGTAACTGGATAAAAATGCACAGTTTATGACCAGGACAGAGTTTTCTGCCCGTCGCATCCCTCCAGAGCAATCGGAGCTCGAGCACCTCGGGAAAACTCACTTATCTTCATTCTGCAGTTTACCCTGCAGGACCGACCGATGGTACTCCATCGAGTTCAGATTCCCCGACGCGGACTTGAGATCGTTCACTTTGTCCTGGTTCGCGGCGAGGTGGGTGTTTGTTGACCGGTCGGCCAGAGGGGCGGTGGTTGTGGAGTCCATTGTATACAGAGGGGTGGATTTATCAGATGCGCTTTCTGCGTTCTTGTTCGCGGTCTCGGAGAGCTTTCAGCACGGAGTGTAAGCCTGTTCTGGGTGTGGATGGTGGAGAGAATTGTAACGGCAGAGAAATATGTAGAATGAATGACTTGCTGGAGGAAGCGATGGATAAGCAGAGAAAGAAAAACCGCGTCGATTGTTGTCATGGCAACTGCATCTGGCACTGCCGGCTATGCTTGACATCATACGTATAAATGAGATCTCTTGACGAGAAGAATCAATCAATAATTAAAAATTGATAGTGTCAGGCAGGGTCATCATCTGTCATTCAAATCATAATCATAGTGGTATCTAAACATATGCATAAACATAGACACAGTGATATCCAGTACAACCGCCCCACGTCCTATACATCACTCCTAAACGTACACAGATAGAATGAAAATACAGTAGTCGCCAACTGCTTCTTCTGTTGTTTCACAGCAGTGAATAATCTTGCAGAACAAAGAAAATAGAGGTGTCACACGAGGCCAGTGTGTTCCCCAGTCAACATCCCTTTGTTGATTCCGCGCCAGGCCTGGTGACAAAGACCTGGATTAGCGTTCAGCTGAACCCGAGAACTCTCCATAAGCCAGCGCCTCAGGAATGACAGGAATTAGCATTCCGGACTGGCGGAATCTGCATCAAAGACTGTTTACGACTCTGTATCCCGCGGATTGCCCGAGTGACAGCCGTTCGTCCTTCGGACATGGCTTCCCTTGTCGCACACCCAGTAAGGTGCCTGCTTGTGCTCACGCCTCCACTGATCCAGATGCCTCTGAATCCCCGTCGTCGGTGTCTTCGCCGCCCTTCAAGACGGGAGGGCTGCTTTGCGACCGCAACTGAGGATGCTCGATGTCTGGTAATTCTAGATCGCCAGGGGAGGACGACGGTTCACGTTTCTCTATCGACTCCAATGGTGCTGATGTCTCCGACGTTGGTGTTGGCGGCGAGTATGCAATAGTGGGACTCGGCGCACTGTCCTGCGTGTCGTCTGAGATATTCCTCCTGTGGCCGCCTCGATATGAGGATGCCGGCCTGGTAGAACCTGGACTCATGGAGGGCGAGCTAAATGGCGGAGATGACGATCGTAAGCTGTAGGATCGAGACACCATGTTTTGCACGCTGGGGAACTCCATATAGCTGCTCACTGCCCCCCGAGAAAACAAGACCAAGCCAAAGCAGAAGAGGACCATGATGCTTTGGATCACAGCGACCCGCTTTTGAAAGACAAGTTCGTCTGCCAGGACACCCAGCTGCGCGCTCAAGGAGAACATCTCCTGGTGATATTGGATGCGCTGGTTCTCAAACTCCAAGGCAACCGTCTTCCAGACCTGATCATACTGTTCGCGGAACTGTCTCAGTTCGTTCAAAACAGTCACGTTTAGATTTTCCAAAAAGGTAGAGGTTTTCGACAACTGGCGCTTCTCAACTTTGCTAAACGCATCACGCAGAATACGCGACTGCTCCTCAATGTACAGAAGAGACAAAGTCGAGTTCGACTCCAGCATTTGCAGCCGCTTGTTGACAGACTTGAAAAACGACTCTTGTGTAGTCGGGTTAGGCGACGGTGGTTGAGTTGCGGAGAATTTGGTTGATTCTACTGGAGGAACTTGCTCTTCCTGGGATGGAGCTGTATATTTCTGGTCTGCTTCCGTTGTAGCATCGTGCTGCACAGTCTCAGACATGGTTGCCGTCGAAGCGGGGGAAGGGACGCCGTCTGCCCCGGACTGTCCAGCAGCTCGTCGAGCATCGGCTGCTTCTTTGGTACCATTATCTGAACCGGGCACAATAGGGACAGAATCCTCGCGCGAGGGCATGGTGTCCCTCGGAGGCGAGTGATGTTGAACAGCTACGTCAGCTCTTTCGTGCCCAGCAGGTCTTGTCGGTGTATCCTGCGCACTGCACGTCTCGAGATCTAGATAACTCGCCAGAAGCCGCTCAAGCCCTTGTGCAGGGTTCGGGCAAGTCTCTTCGATTTGAGCCTGCACTTCCTTGCCCATACCTTCACGAGTCTTTGCACCCACGTCAGACGGACTATCAGATGACTCTGCAATCTCCGCGTCAATGACGGCATGGTCCGGCTCCAAAGACTCGTCAATTATCTCGTCGTCAACTCGACTAGCCTCACCATCATGCTTGTATTCCTCCAGCATAGTTGTTCCATGGACGCGGATGAGACTCAGAGGGCAATAGAACTCGTTTCCGTAGTGCGTCAGAAACTCAATCTTCAGATACCGAGCCCAGATCAACGGGTTCTCCACCGCGAAAGCTTGAACTTCACGGGTATTCCTGGCTTCAAAAATCCCCAGTTCCCTCCACTGGTCCGGTTTTGCCGGGTAGCGATCCGAGACACTGACCCGGAAGGTATGAAAGATGGAACTGAAGAACTCGTAGTTCGCAAGAACCACGGTGTCCACCAGGATATCGTCACACAGCTCGAGAATCAGGAACTTATTCTTAGCCCGACACTCATTAAGCATGTAGCTGTCTTTATTCTCGATCAGCACGGAAGACGAGCCCTGACACTCGGGGTTCGTCTTGAGCACCGTAGCAGCGCAGTCAAAGGAGGCGTAATTGAACCGCTCCTTGCACGTAATCCCGGCATCTTTCCTACGCGATGTGCCTGACCGCAGAACCCCAGGAGACGGGGCACCCCCATCTCCACCACGTCCGCTACCAATCGTCCCCACGCTTTCTCCCATGTGCACCCCCGAGCTAAACGACGGCGGTTGCGCGGCCTCGGGAGTGTCAGTCCCGAACCCACCAAAGTCAAGCTCAATTTCCGTGTCTTCTCCCAGCGAATCCAGCGCGTTGTTGATCCCCGTAGGCCGTCGTCGGCCCTCGTTCCCTGCCACGCCAGTCCACCGATTACCCCCCACATTCTCCGCCGACTGGCCAGCCTTTGCTAGATTCTGCTTCTTCCAATCTTCAAAGGAGAGGAACTTGGCGTTATCGAGGGGCGAATCCGTGTCCAGCTCTTGCTCTGGACCGGAGTGTTGTTGTCCAGCGGCAGGACTGGCGGTGCTGCTCGGCGACGGAATGTCTGAAATCGTCGACACCGTAACGGAGGATCCGCCAGTGACAGTAGTTCCTGCCCTACTCCAGCGGGTCTCCACGCAGATAGGCCAGCGAATAAACTCGGCCTCTGTATCCCGCCAGCCCCTTGCCAGGCATATTGGCTGTGAGCGCTCCGGTGCCGCTTCTCCAGCCGCAAGCAGGGAGAGCGCGGCCAAATGAAGGAGAGATGCGCCCGGACATCGCCCCCAAAGCATCATGCACACGGCGCTGCAGAGGAAAAGAGGATATGCCCAAGTCAACCGCCGTTATCCGCTAAACTCCCTGCTAACGTGCTTGGCCCTGAAGTGGCGACTGATAGAGGGATGTCGGAAGATACTGTGAATCACTCGACTAGATTATATTCATGGTGTGTACATTGCCTTCTGTAAATCATTGCATAAATGGCGTCAGCAGTCCGGAGAATAAAGTGAAAGTAAGAAAAAGAGGGCTTATCAGTACCTAGGCTTACTGCGTGCTTTTGGCCGCGCTTGCTTGGGCCAGGTGTCGCAAAGGATGAGAGCAGATGGAAGAAAGAGGCGAGCAAGACAGGACTTCGAATACTTCTTTTCTAAGAAAAATAGCCAGAATTAATTATCTAGACATATCTGACTGAAAAATGAAACTGTGTCCACAATTGCAGTCCGGGTGAAGAAATTCGTCCCTGCATCAGGTCGAGGTGGCTTTCTGTGGCGGTCTCTAACGGCCTGTGACCGCCCTTTTTACACTCGTCACCGCCTCGAGAATGTCATGTCATCGCGCATGAAGAGTCGGGAATAGCGACACAGTCTGGAGTCACTTCATTTCACTGATTTACTAGAGTGATGAAAGCAAGAAATCATTCACGAGAAGTTGTTGATTCGGGACTATTTCTCGAGATTATTGTCCACTTCACAGCCTAATCAGCTGTTCCACCTAGCTACATACAGTACAGTGCCTTGCAACAACAGACAGAAAGTGGAAGAGAACAATAGTCGCTATTCCCGCAGCTTTTTTTTTTGCTTTTCCTTGAAATCCATGCAGAAGATTCGATGAATAGCAGGCGACAATCGTAAACCATCCACCTCTTTCGCCATGTATCATCGCTCCTTGCCCCTGTGCCTTTGCCAGACCGTCACACATTGAACCTTTTGATGTTGAAGAGTATGTGAACACATAATGTTAAACTCGAACAGAGCGCCCAACCTCCTTGGAATACAATCCCAATGGTTAATCAGTCGATGAGTCACTTTTGAACTGCTCGCCACCACCGCTTGCATGCTCCAGAGCGAGCTATAATATACAGGAATGAAAACAACAGACATGACCACGTGCTCCAATGCCGCGTATAAGAAAATCTATCTATGGGGGTGCGCTTTGTTTTTCTCGAGGAAATTAGGAGAGAGGCGAGGAAAGTGTTGAAGAGGAAATCAAAAACAAAAAAAGTAATAGAGTGACGTATATAGGTTTTCTCTGCTCTTCTTCCAAAATGGATGAGACGGAACAACGGGACGGAAGGACATTGGACACAAGGAGTCAGGACGATGTTGAGGATGATGACGTTAGAGGTGAAGATCGTGCCAGCCACCCACAAGGTCAAGATCTTCGTCGATGCTTCCATCGTAACCACTGGGAATGTAAGGCTTGACGGCCTTTGGAGATTCAGCCGCATCACGGCGCTTACCCTTCTCCGGGAACGGGCGGCGGCGACGGTCCTGATGCGCAAGGTTGTCTTTCTTGACCCAAGATCCGTAGTCGAATCCTGATGATCCAAGGCCCCAATCCTTTCGCCAACTCATGCTATTTGAAGACTTCTGCTGGCCGAATGATCTTTCGGTAGGTTTGTAGTTTCTTCTTTTGTCGCCTAGCGCAGCCCACTTGTCCAGATTCGACTTCTTGGGTGAGCTTTGCGAGAAGCGAGGAGCCGAACCCACAGCAGCAGTACCAACCTCAGCGAGAGGCGACTTGGCAGAAATGTCGACGGGCTTGGTGGAGGGCGTCTCCTGCGCAGAAGAACGAGCATTGAGAAGCGAGGACGACTTGGGTTCACGAAGTCCAGTCGCGGGAGTGGGAACATCCATGCCGCTGCTCTCATGGCTCCAGCTACGTGAGTTCGCCTCGTGCCGTTGTTGGAAAACGACGTCCTCATGCTCGAATTCCTCATCCTCATCCCAAAGGTCGCTCCAACTCTTCGAGATCTGGTCGTTCTTGTTCCGACCAAACACCATGGACAGAGAAGGTAGCGGTTTGGTTGCATGGCTCGGAAGGGAACCGGTGATTGGCACAGGATCCGACGGAGGTGGGTACCTAGGTGCAAGAGAACGGAAGGCAGTGGACTTGAAAGACTCCCCCAAGGCGGATTCGAGAACGGATGCCATGGATGGAGTGCCTTGGTGAACGGAGAACCAGGAAGTACCAGCCGTTTCCGAGGGGGGGAAGAGGTCTTCGGAGTAGCTCTCGTTGTCGGGAATAGCAGACAGTTGGCGGATGGCTTGGGGCGGGCTGGATTGCAACGCTTTGGCCCAGGGGAAAGAATCGCCTTGGTGCGCAAATGTGGTTTGGACCGAGGGGGTCCGGAGTGGCTCGCGGTTGGCACTGGCAGGAACAACCTCGCGGTCGTCGGTGCAGAAATCGTCCAAGACCTCATCGTCGGTAGTAAAGGAAACCGCCCGCACGAGGGCATCACGGACACCAGCGAGCGAGCGTTTCTCAGGATCAATGGCCAAGGCAATTCTCAGAATCTCAAAAGTATCCTGGGACATGTTGGTGAAGATGTCAAACAGAGACTGGCGATCGCGAACATAATCCGCGAAGAGGATGTCCGATTCCGTTGGGGTTGCAAAGGGATTGCGAGCGAAGAGGACATTCAGCAAACAGATGCCAATAGCCCAAATATCAGCTTTGGCAGGCGAATAGCCATTAGCACCCGGATCGTACTGTTCGGGGGCCATGTAGCGATCGCTTCCAACGCACGCTTCATGACACCAAGCAGCACGAGTTGCCAAACCAAAGTCACCGAGTTTCATCGAGCCGTCCTGCGTCAAGAAGATGTTCTCCGGTTTGATGTCACGGTGGTACATGCCATTCGAGTGAAGGAACTCAACGGCACTGACCAGCTGCAGCATGAAATCGCGAACATGCTCCGTCTCCAAGGGACCGCGGTTGAGCCGAATTGCTTCATAAAGATCGCCGTTGGCGCAGTACTCCAGAACGAGGTACAAATGAGCCTGCGTCTCGAATGAGTGAATAAGATTCACGATATTCGGGTGGTAGGCAAGGCGCTTGTGACAGTCAAGCTCTTCAAAACGATCGTCGATCGCAAATGGAGCCGATGGGTCATTGGATGGCACCTTGGTCAAACACTTGATGGCCACGTCTTGACCGGTCTTGATATCTGTAGCGAGAAAGACCATACCAAAGGATCCATGGTTCAAGGGAGCCACAGTCCGAAAACGACCATCCAAGAGCTGGCCTTTGACAAAGTTGTTCTTCAAGCACTCCATAGCCGATGATTTGGATAGCACGACGTTCGTTTGAGAAGGTTATGCGGTCCGGTGGAAGAGATGATTGGTGGCGGTCCGTGAGAGCAGTACTCTTTAGACAATGACAAAAGGTCGATCAGGCAGTATAAGACCTCTCAGAAGGCCAATGCAGAACCGAAAGTAAGAGACAAACAAAACAGCAACCAGGCTATAAAATATGATCAAGAAGGGAAATCAGGTCTGCAATGCCAATATGACCTTGACCACCGAGAAAAACCAAAGAACAAGTGAACAGAAAGAATCGAGAATGGAAAGAGATGAAAAGCGAAACACCCGATTGTTGACTCAGACTTTCATATAAATACCAGAGATGAGACGATAACAAAAGAGAGAGATGACACGGTGGGCGCGGAGCGCAGTTCAGAGTACCCACGGAGGGTTTGACGAGGTAAGGAAATAGTAAAGACCGTTATTGGTTCATCTGTATGTCGTTTCACAGAATGAGACTTGAATCAGACGAATAAAGAACGAGTTTCGAGTGAAGGACTATGTCCGGTGGAAGGACACGAGAAGATATGAGGAGAGAAGAAATTGAGAGTCGATAGAAACGCTGCGTGATATCGTAACTTTAATGCCAAAGTATAACAAACAAGTCTCGTAACTTATAAAGCTGCCTTCGAACACCAGGCTGAAGGTCGAGGAAGATGGTGACTCAGAAGCCGAGGATTAAAAAGTCATGAGTTCCAGAGGGCGTTCAATGCAAAACTTGTAGAGGTGAGAACTGGTATATAAAAAGGGCCAGTGAAGGCAATGGACAACTGGTATCAGGGTCTTCAACTCCTTTGTGGAACAAAGTCGAAGAACCAGATATCAGCACCCCGGCCCCGGTTTGGCGGAGATCGACAGACGACGAGGCAGATCTCACGCTCAAACAAACTAATACCCTCACGCCTAGTAAATTGTTGCAATGTAGCACGGGTCTGTTGTGAATTGGCAGTAGCAGAAACGTGGGTCACAAATGACTCCTTATCGGTGGTTGACTTGCGGTATGAGTCACGTTAACTGGAGGTGCTCGGAAGGCTAAAGAGACGATACAGCAGCGAGAGGAGGAGCTCGAAGCAGACAAGACGAGTGCACTTGCTCAGAACAGATGAAGGAACAGAATCTGATCTGATCAGGAATTAAGAAGCACTATCGAGCTGCAACGGGTTAAGGTCGAGGAGAAGGAGGCTGATGAGGTTGGCGGTTGATTGGGGATAAAGATGACGGGAGTTGGAGCAGACGGTCGGGAGGCAAATTAGGTAAGTAGGTGTATAGGTAGCGGTGGACGGACGGTTCAAGAGCTTAGGTGGGTTCGAATCGATGATGAAGAGGAAGAGTTGGAGGAAAGAGAGGTGGGATGGAGATGAAGATGAGAGAAGAAGAGAAGGAACGGACAGACTAGGAGTATGGAGTAGGAGTAGGAGTAGGAGGAGACGATAGGGATGGGGAGAGGATGGTGGATAAGGAGATTGCGGGTACTACTGACTGTATGACTGTGAGCAATAGTGTCAGGTTGTTGGGCCGGGTCTGGTTATGTAATAATAAGGGAGGGGAAGCAACAGGCAAATACGTACATACTTTTGTTACATAAGGCAAAGACGGCACTCGGAACCTTTGGGGAGGAGGAAGTAAGGTAACAGGCCAGTGACGGCGAGAAAGCGGGCGAACGAGAGAGAAACGTCCTGGGACTGGACGACATCTAGGTGGGTCCCTTA